TCTCTGTCCTCACAGCCTTCCTGAAGCGATCTCAGCCCCAAAAATCCCGATCCCAAATCGCCAGGGCGAGGGTGAGGTGGCACAAACCATCCCACAGCAGCCCCCCAGAACCTGGGGGCTCCCTCAGGGTCCCCCCGGCACTGAGGTGACACCGGTGCCGTCCCCACTGATTTGGGGACTCATCCAGCCTCAGTGCCACATTTTGGGGACTTGGTGGCACCCACGGCGGCACGGAGGGGTGGCGCTGGCTCTGGGTGTCCCGATAATGTCCCCCCCGGCCTTATCTGGGGCTGCCAAGGGCTCCCCTCCCTGCGCAGCCCTGGGGGATTTTGGGATCCCTCCCCTCCTGTCCCCCTCCTGGCAGGGGCAGAGGGGGTGTGTGGCTCCCCAGTGGGCACAGAGGTGGCATCTGTCCCCGTGGGGGATGTCTGGCTGCTCAGGGTGACTCTGATTTATTTGGGGCATGCGGAGGGTTCTGTGGGTTCCCGTGGGATTCACACCGTCCCTTCCCGATTCCCCTGTCACAACAACGGGGAAACTGAGGCACAGTGAAAATCGGGGMGGGGGAGCTGTCCCCCAACACAGCCAGCCCCACCCAGGTGAAGGGGATCCCTCGCCCCCCTCAGACCCCGCGGGGAGAGGCGATCTGGGACCCCCAAAACTGAGATCAATTCAGGACATGGCAGAGGGGACAATCTGAGCCTGGGGTGGGCAAAAGACCCCCCCAAAAACCCCCGGGGGCTGCCCCTTTCCCACGGGATCCCCCACCGGCGGCAGGGACAGGTGGGAACGGGGACATCCCCCCCTCTTCATCCCCCGGGGACAGATTTGGGGGGCCGGGGGCGGGGTGAGCATCCCTTTTGGGGGGGCAGGGGGGCGGCGCACGGCCCGTGGCGTGGGCACCGGCGGAGCAAAGCCTGCGCGGAGCGGGGGGGGGGCCCGCGGCCGTGGGGTGGGGGGGTCCCCACGGGGGAAGGGGGCATCGCCCGCGGCCGCGGCGTCTGGGCCCGCTGGATGGAAGCGAGCTGGGTGCCGGCTGCCATGGCTCTGGGGCTCTCCTCCAAGAAAGCTTCCTCCAGGAACATCGCCGTGGAGAGGAAAAACCTCATCACCGTCTGCAGGTGGGGGCCCGGCGGGGGGGAGCCCCTAAAATTGGGGTGGGAGGAAAGGGAGAGGGGGGAGGGAGGGAGAAGCGACCACCGCCGGTGGGGATGGAGGAGATGGGGGGCGGGGAGGGTTGGGAGGAGGGGGTTTCATCCCTCCCCCCCGCCGCCCCTTCACCCTTTGGGGGGATTTGTTGTTGCTGCAGTCGCTTTTTGAGGGGGGAAATTCGGATTTGGCCGG